TATGGGGGAGTGGTGGCACAGAGACTAGAGAAGGTGAGCCTGTCATCAGAAGGTTGCCGGTTCGACCCCCAAACCAAGATCAAAACTGAAAGTGGGAAAGGTGAAGCACCCACATCTGCCTCCGTCCTTGTTTGCTCCACCCTTGGCCCTTGAGCAAGGCTCTTAATCCCCATGTGCCCTAGATGGCAGCTCTTTGCTCCACTCAGAGGACTGTGGTAGCTCGGAGGTTCTTAAATGTGCTTCCAGCTTAATTTTTTTTTTTTTTTGTTCAGACGTGGCTGCAAGTAAGCAACACTTCCCATAGCGTCACATAGAAGCAGGGGATAAAAACTAAATGAGCACTGTTGCCTCACAGCAAGAAGGTCCTGGGTTCAATCCCCAGTTGGACCTGGGGTCTTTCTGTGTGGAGTCTGCATGTTCTTCTCGCGCTTGTGTGGGTTTTCTCCGGGTACTCCAGTTTCCTCCCACAGAAAAAACAAACAAACAAACAAAAAAACATGTACAGTATGTTAGGCTGCCTTCAGGCCCAGGCTTCTCTTGCAAAAGAGATCTGTGATTTTAATGGGAATTGCCTGGTTAAATAAAGGTTAATAAATATATAAACAAAAGTAAAGAAGTCTTAGTTTACTAGATGGAATTTTGGTTTTTGTTACAAAGTAAACTATTTCACTGCCTTTCTCTCTAATGAGAACATTAAAAACACTTAGAACATACAAAAAAAAAAAGAAAGAAAATCTGCAAAGGTCTTTTTTGCTATAGGCCTAATAATCTTTGTGAGATTAGGAGCTGAAGGTTAATGTGTGCTTTTGCAGATAGGAAAAGGAGCTGGGAGTGAGGGAGATCAGACCAGACATTGCTCTACAGAGGCACAAACCAACAATATAGCAGAGACACTGGGGGGCTATAAGTGGTTAAGAGTCTAAGGATCAATGGGAGGATAGGCCTGAGCCTCATTACACATGTAAATGCAGCTTCCTGCATGGAGGCCGCACTTTAAAGCTGTGCTGTTTTAATTATTCCTTTGCTCAACCCATGATAATTGGGTCTAACTCAGGCGAAGGCCTGTTGGCTGTGGAAGGTGAATAAAATATCCTAATTACTTTGTTCAGTTTTAATTGTTATCACTGGACAGACCTAGGGCCTCATGTATGAATGGTGCATGCCAACAAAAAAGTTGTATTTGCCATGTTCCATGTACACATTGTGATGTAAGAAAATCAATGTTGCATGAAAATACGTGTAAATATATGCAAACTTGTGACTCGCTGTGAAAATGTGTGCGCTGCCATGCACACTTCCTCAGTCTACTCAAACTACAATGTACTAAAACTCGCCTGATTGCACCAAAATTTGACTCCATTCAGTTTTCTGCACTCAAAGAGCACTGGAACTAAACATTTTTTACAAGTTTAGTATTTATGGCTTAATCCAGAACAATAAAACTGAACCCCATTTAATCTTATACAACATAACATATAATACTCCTCAAAATGATCAAAACAACCTAAGTCCAATGTAAAATGTAAAGTGTGCTCTTTTTAATCATATGTTGTTGTGAACATGTACAGGTGTTTACATGCTTGTAAGGCAGACAGCTAGGCACAAAGATGCATGTGAATTGTCAAAGGGGCACATCCATTCTCAATGAGAAGAAACCTGTGTTGGATCAGCATAAATATTCAAAACAAATCCCATTTACATCCATTGTTGGATGCAACTGGGACCCTGTGTACACAATTTCGTTCTACCACATGTACCACATGCGGTGTAAATGACAAATAAAGAAACTCTCTAACTCTCTCTTTGTGATGTTTCCTGAAGTCTACAACATGTAGACAATGGCACATGGCCATTAAAAGCTGCGTAAAGTCTTACATAATTGTGGAATCTACGGCAGGATGGTAGGAGGAGAAGTGGATTGCCAGTGCAAGATCCATTCCTCCCTGCTGCTCTCATTTCCATTTCACCCAATCCAAGGTGTTGGATTAAATAAAATAAAACTAAAAACAGCGGGGCGGGCGGTAATGTACTCCACCACCACCCGCCCCTCTGTTCTTAGCCAAGGATGGCTATATGGAAAGTAATTTTGTAGTATTTCATTGTGCAAGGATAATAAAAGCATTCTGATTCCGATTCTAACTCATTCCACAATTTTGGATCTTCAACATAGAAAACTCTGTCACCTCTGGGCTTAAAACGAGTGCCTGGAAGCAATAAAAGCACCTGGTCTGCTGACCTCAGAGAGCACTGTGGGACATATGGCTGCAGCAGATCAGCTATATAGGAGGGGACAGAACTACTTGGAGATTTAAATACATACAGAAGCATTTTAAATGAATCTGAAAGTGAACCAGGAGCCAGTGAAGAGAGGCCAGAACTGGAATAATGTGCTCTCTTTTTTGCCTGTGCAGTTAAAAATCAGGCTGCAGCATTTTGAGCCAGTTGTAAATGTGCAATGGAGGTCTGACTGATTCCAAAAAGAAGCACAGTGCAGTAATCAAGCCTGGATGTTATGAAAGCACATATCAGTATTACTGCCTCAAGGTTACTTTTGGACAGTATATGCTTTCATTTAGACAGTCGCCTCAAATGAAAAAAAAAAAAAAACACACACAAACAAACAAACAAACAAAAAAAAACAGTATTTAACAATCAAGTTTGCATGACTCTTTAGTTATATAAAGTCACACCATAAATATACAGTTTATAAAGTGCAATCATTTGCTGAAAAGTTTTGACAAAGTGAAATGCAGAAATATTACCAGCTGAAACTGCCAAATCATAAATGATTCCATGATAATGGATGATAGATAATAGTATACTTTTTAATTTAATTTGGAATATTACCTGGACATGAACTAAAAGTAATTTTATGAATATTACCTCAAATTTATGAAAAACATTTATTTTACTGACAACAGTTTTGTTCAGCTGATGGTACGGAAACTCTCAATTCAAAACACATGAGCCAAAATATAATAGTACACATTTTCCACATGCAATACTGCCATTGTGAAGCATACTTTTTAAAAACATTACTTTTTGTTAATTTCTCACAATGCTATATATACAAGACACTATGATACCCAATGACATATGGCCCTATATATATAAAAAAAGGTGGCTCTTGATGTGTGCATACTCATGTGCCTCTTAATTTGTAAATACATGCATACATACAGACACACATACATACATAGTAAGTGCTATGAGTTGTCATCATTGTATGTTCCCATACAATGGTGAAATTAGTTCTTTGCATTTAACCCATCACAACTGGGATACACCCAGGTGGAGCAGTGGGCAGCTATGTAAGTGCCCAGGGAGCAATTGGGGATTGGGTGTTTTGCTCAGAGACACCATGTCATAACCTTGGACTTTTGGGTCCTGGGTTGGCCGCCCTGCCCCATATCGCACCCCCCGCCCGCCTGCCCGCATACATACATACATACATAAAGACAAACATACATGCATAAATACAAACATACATACATAAAGACAAACATACATACATAAAGACAAACATACATACATAAAGACAAACATACATACATAAAGACAAACATACATAAAAAGTGTTCTGCCACAAGACAATATCAGATCCTTATCTATTATTGTAAAAAAAAACACAACAACAACAAGACCTCTGTATCTTAATTAAAACATGTGATCCCTATAAGCTCTACATTCCTTGTTTAAAATGTACCAAATAATTTGATTCCCATATGTTTGTTGACATCTAAATATTATATATAAATTGGCTTGAAAAAACAATAAAATAAACTTACCTGGCCTGGTTTGGCATCTTCACATATGGAGGCTTCATATGGTGTAGCCAGTTCAGGAGGATTATCATTTACATCTAGAATTCGAATGCTCAGTGGTGAGTAGGATACCATGGAGTGGTTATCTACATAAGATAAAAAGAAAAGGCATTGTGGCAGGTGTGAATGTGTTTCCTTGAATATTGTTGCTATTTTAACAAAGAGTGTGATTGTCACTCAGAGAAGTAGTGCTTGGAAACTCAGTGACTGAGAGTCCAATATTGGTTAGAGTAGTCCTTAAGTGAAGTCAGAGTTAATTCAAACAGATTTTTAGTAATTCAACAACAGTGATTTACTTCATCCAATACAAGAGTCAACAGGCCACTTTTCACTTTACACAGATTACTGCAACTCACCAGTTCTTCAACTGTTTGAAACCTTTTATCTTCTTGCTATGGTGGAGCTTTTTTTATGTTGGGCTGAATAGCCTGCCCATTTGCACATTGTGCATCAAGCAACATTCAAGTGTACTGCACTTGTGCTGAAATTGAGAGAGGTTCCCTGCTGCTCAAGTTTTGCTGACTGGTCAAATTTAACTGTAAGAATGTGACAAAGACCGTGTTTAAGAATGCATAGACAGCTGTCAGTCAATGCTTCTTAACAATATGTAACATTAGGGACACAATTCAGATACAGAGTTAGCTTCCAATATACCACCATGATCAGCATTGAAATGGTACCAAAATTATCAGTTACATCTCAACATCTAATTATTCCATTTCAGAGCTGCCACATAGTCTCAGTTAAGGTGAAATACCCTAACAATAGGTTGCTTATTTGTTTGTTTATTTATTTTTAGAACAGGAAATCTTTCACCCCAGATGCTCTCAAAGGGCATTTTGCCTAATAAAATGAGGTGTTAAAGTGAACATTATGCATTTTGTCCATTTATAACTCACCTCAAATTAACTTAGTTTGTCCTTGAAACCTAATTTTCATTCTTAATTTTCTGATAATGTCTGACTGAGTTTTCATTTTGCACACAAAACTCTATGTATAGTAAAGCATAAAACCTTGGACCCAGAGAAATGTGTGTTTGTGCATATATGTGTGTTTGTGTTTGTCTCTGTGTGAAAGAGTTTGAGAAGAAAAAAAAACACAGAGAACATTATGTGGGAGTTTAATGAGTGATCCAGTTGCTTGCAGGGCTGGTCTGGAAATCCTGGTTAATTAGAGTACACAGCTGAGGAATAAATCACCTTGCACAGCTATCATCACCCAGTTAACACATTTGAGTGGCACCCCACAGAAAATGTAACAACATGCAGATAGTTAAAACTACTCGTGCATGGAAACAATCCACATAAATTGTTGTAGTTATTTTAATTGAATAAATTCAGACTTGTTTAAATTGTGGTAAAGTTAAACTTACACACACAAAGGTACTTACTATTAATGTTTCTTTTGGCTGCTCCCTTCTTCAGGGGTCACTACAGCAAGCAAACTTGCATGAAAGATTTGTCAATTTGTTATTTGCCGGATGCCCTTCTTGACGCAACCTGGGCTCAAACTCGCAACCTCAGGATTACAAGACTGTGGCACTGACCAACAAGCTACTGTAGTTTGGTGCCCATGTTCAGCTATCAATGTGTGAGAGGTGGTATACACCTTGGACAGGTCTCGTCACAGGGCCACATAGAGACAAATGAGACCAACAACCATTCACACTCTCACACACCTAGGGACAATTTAGTTACCAATTAGCGTAACATGCGTGTTTTTGTTCTGTGGGAGGAAACCCAGAAAAAACCCGAACATACAAACTCCACCCAGAAAGGCCCCTGGACCGGGATTTGAACCAGGGTAACCTGTTCGCTGAGAGGCAGCAGCTCTACCAATTGTAGTGAACTAGGCCTAAGGTCAAGTCCTGACCTTAAGGACCATATGGGACAGAAACTGTCATTTCATTGATTTGAATCCAGAAATACAGGTTGACCCATCCTAAGACTTTCTTTCTTGAATTAATCAAGTAAAAGAAGACTACTCTCGATTATCATTACTATTTTACAAATGTTTGATAATCAAATTGTGTTAGTTCAAACAATGTTTAAATGTTGAAGTGAACTACTCATTTTTAAATCAACTGTGAAACAGTAATAATGATTGTTAATCCTCATTCAAAGAAGAAATCAGGTTAATGATGCATTGTCTGATTTTCTGTCTTCAATGAGCAAGTGTGTAAGTTGGTCAAAGTTCAAGTTTCGGTCAACTGCAAGTTTACTGAAAAAGAAATGTCATGTTTAACTTTTACAGCAAGATACTAGAGAAGTGACTCCACGAAGTCTGAGTTCTTCATAACAATCTTCTGTCTGTTCTTAAACAATCTTAATCTTTTTCCTTGACTTTTCATAACACCTTACATCACAAAACACACCTCTGTTTTGGTCCATCGACCAATCAGAAACTCCCAAATGAACCGGAAATAGAGCCCTTTAAATGTTGGTACTTTCTAGTTCAACCCAAGTTTAGTTGGAATCGGGTGGAGAGTTTGCAGCTCCAGTCGTTTGGGAGAACAGAAGTCCAGCCATGATTTAAAGCTCTTCCGAGTATTGGGATTATGACATCTTCCACCTCTGAGTGGAACTCTGATGGACCCCACTCATGTGAAGTCCACTCGTGAGGTGAACTGTTGTTGACGAAGTTCCGCCATCACTCCGGACGGTTCTCTGCCATCCTACGGAGACGCTGGACCGGTAGCGTAACTGGAGCTCCGCTTTCACTGATTCATCGTCAGAGAGGTAATGAGTCGAGTTGACTACCGAGCGTACCGAGGAAAGCTGGGTCGAATGGAGGGTGTCGTTCTGTCCAACACTTTTCACTCACACACACACCATCTCCCTCCCTCTAAACTTCAATCTTTAAACTCTTCTATCTGCTAAGAAATTAATCCAGATATTTTTAGAAATGTCTGAAGCAAAGTTTTTCAACCACCGCCGTGTGGTTAATGTCTGTTGTACTGCTGGAAGTGAGAAAACAATCGCCGTATTGTTTAATCCTCGTAAAACTGATTAATAAGCTGTCGTTATTTTCAATTCTTGCCAATTAATGTAAATGTGTGATGTGTTAAACTTGATTCTGTTAATAAATGACCCACTGTCGTTGGTGAGTCAAAGATAATTAACGTTTCCGTCCACATTTTTAATTATTCAATGCACGTATATTATACAGTCCAGAAAAATGAAAGAATCCGTTTAATTTATGAATATATATCAGTATATGTTCATTCTACACACTTACCCCATCATGCTGCCCAACATTGAACAATACTTATATATTGTTTTTAATATATATATATATATATAATTACATGGTTAAATGTGGGAATTACACCTTGCACCAAAAATGTGGTTGTTTTTCTTCTGTTTCTGATTTTGCTGCTGACTGAATAAACAACAGCAACTATAAGACAGTACTTTTTTTTTCAATAACTCCTTAAAAAATGTAAACTTGAAAATGTGCAAACCTTTCCCACTCAAAACCCTGAAGCATAATATATAAGAAAAATACAAAACTTTTTTTTAATATAAAACAAGTTATGTGTGGCCAAAGTGGTCCCATTCCAGATATGCATTTTAAAAAAGGCGATTTTAACATATGATCAATGTGGTCTGCATCTGTGCAGCACAGACCAGCTGTTGAGAATCTTACAGCAGGAGTCTCTTAGGCACAGCATTATGCTGATGTTCCTTCAAGGAAGACAGATAGAGAATGTAAGCCAGTGTGTCTGTTCTCGTATACATGCATGTGTCTGAATGAGTGTGTGTGGGTGGGTGTCAGGGGTGTTATAAAGCTGGTGACCAAATGGTTCTCCTACTTTGCTCCGGGAAATTGTTTGGTTTAAAGTGTCACATTTGTCAGCAGAGTAAAATGAAAACACAGATGTACTCAGCTGTGTCTGTCTAGTCTATTCACTCAGCTGCAGGCCTAGCAAGGTAAGTGAATTGGCGACAAAATAGTACTTACCATTCATTCATTCATTCATTCATTCATTCATTCATTCATTCATTCATTCATTCATTCATTAGTTGTCCAAGTCTGATTTCACCTGTTCAGGGTGGTGGAGGGCTGGAGCTTATTCCCTTAGTCATTAAACAAGAGTTGGAATACGAACTGTATGGATTATCAATCCAACACCTGCAAGTACTTTTATTTTATTTATTTTTAAGATATATAAATGAAGAATGTACGCTCTTTTTTTAATTTATTTTTTTATTTTATTTATTTATTTATTTTTATTTTATTTTTTATGGGCAAATACACTTTTCACATCAAGCTCAGGTTCTTTACCAGGAACCTGACAGCTTGAAGGTTATGCACAGTGTATTAGCTGTCCCTTGTATTGCTCTCTTCTGGAAATAGATCTTTGGGGTTCTCCTTGGAATCTGCTGCTAATTTCCCTGTTTATACATTATTATAGCTTCTGATTGTTGTTGAAGTTATGGCAGCATGTGCAGTATTTTTTATTTTTATTTTATTTAAACAAAACACAATGAACTCCTCTGAACAGATTTTGAACAAAATGCAAACAAAACAGAAACCAGCCCACACTTTTTTGGCCTTATTACCAATTTTCCTTTTACGTTGGCCTTGTTTTATTTAACCCATGCATCCTAGCAGTACTTCCCTATTTAGTTTTCTTTATCAGATCTTTTTTTTTTCTTCTCACATCTTCCAACCTTGAACCTATTTATCTCCCTTCACCACGTTTTAACAAGAGTCTGATTCATTTGGACTTGCAGGGAATAGTGTTCAAACGACATAAAAGTCAAACAGTCTGTGTATGTTTTCCAGACAGCAAAAAAAGAAAATGATACCATAAAAACCATATTTTCGTTGCAACAGAGCAAGAGATAAAGACTTTCAGTTTCTTGTGTAGGTTTTTGCCCTCAGGGCGATGCTGTTTTTTCCCCCCACCTACCTGTCTGGGTAAAAAAAGCAGTTTTGCAAGGTGGTATCATACTTGCTATCAGTTCTCGAAAATTATATGTCACTCTTACTTAACCTGATGCATTTATATGAAGAAAGCTGCCAGAAAGTATGAGTACCTGGCTAGTGACAGTGCATTAAATGCTCTTCCTGTACTCAAGAGGCTCTGTGCTCTGTGGATGGAAGACAAGTAGCCTACTACACAGATGAGAGGCTGCTTCATCTCTCATAGAAGATAGTCTGTAGACGTAGGTGCGCACTTTAATAGGGTTCATTTGAAGACACACTGTGGGTACATGTTAGCATATTTTTAGAACTGATGGAATATCAGAATAGTTGTTGCACTTGAACATCCTGATGCATGCACTTGAACATATTTTTAGCCCACACACAAATTAACCTGACATTTAGTTTGTCTTTTTTTGTTTGACAGAGGTTAATCTTAGAGTGCAGACAGTAAGAACTGTCAGGAAGCTGTTGCCAATCGTCCAGTAATTGTACACATGCAAGACAAAAGTTCAAAGGTCTGTAACAAACTGGTATAATTGAGGGTTATGCCGTGAAATAAGCTCTGCTCTCAGACAACTTGACCTTGTGGCATTAGCTTTAATGAGTAAAAAGACGACGAAAAGGAGAAAGTCATTTCTTAAAAGTCTCAGTCACTTTACAAGTTTATATACCAACCCACCCTAACCTATTTCCACTATTCCTGTGGCCTCAGTTGTTTAATTTTGCCTCTTTTTATTATTTGGTCCTGTTTGTGTGTTTACATGTTTAGGACTGTGCAAGCCAAGGGGCAATAAAGAAACATTGAAGAAGATCATTCTAATGGCGCTGACTACTGTCTTTGTCTATACAGTAGAGTCCATGGACGGCAATGTAGGAGGCTTTATCTTTCAAGCACAGGCATGCGTTTATGTCTGATGCTGAAAGGTGTGAGACCACTTCAAATGTTCAATTAACATTAAAATGTGCCTGTGACATAAAGCCAAGCACAAGACACTGAGCACAAATAAACTCGCGTTACTCTGAGAGGCTCCGACAACCTAATTTTGTTTTAATGTTTGAGTTGGGTGAAGCTGCCTACTGCTCCGTTTAGCTTGTGTTGACTGTTAGAGTAATCAAGGTGTGCAGAAATGTGAGGAAAGAACAACTATGAGTACATTTTAATTTTAGGTTTTTTTTGGTTTTTTTTAACGGCATTATTGTCTTTGTTCCTCTGTGTGCCATGGCAGATCCCAGTTAGAAGCACAATCCAATCTCCTTTGCTTTCACTGCAATTTCAAAATCACTTCATCTGTATACGATTGAAAAAGTGAGAAATACCAAGCCTCCTCCATTTCCAAGTTTACTTCTAATGGCATAGTAATAACTTCCTTGCTTCCCCAAGTTATTATGTTCTTCATTTTCTCTGCTATGACAAAAGGACCCAGTGAGATGAAAAGAAAAACAACAACAATATATATATATATATATATATATATATATATATATATATATATATATATATATATATATATAGAATGAGAATGAGAATGAACAAAATATATATATATATATATTGTTCATTCTCAGTGTTGTATTTGTAAGCTCAAAGACTATAATGACTACATGTTCCTTCTGGTATGAAAAAAACAGCAATGCATGGCTGCCACCAATAACTAATATACACAAAGAGTAATCAGAGTTTGCTTTGGAGGACAATAAACACAATGTAAAGTTATTTGTTATTTAAATACTAAATGTCCATGTCTTAAAAACATCCAGTTTTATAAAACACATTGTTTGTACTGAAATAAAGATGAAAAAATGAGTCAAGTCAGCATTTAGGAGAATGTAAAACAGTTTTCCAGCACAGCATGACACCAAGACAAAGATTTTCAATGTAACCAAGGGAACACATTATCTTGTTATCTCAAGAAAATATGTTTGTATATTTATTTGCTCAAGAAAGTTTATGATTTTGCATTAAAAAAAACCCATCATTTCAAAATTACATTTTATCAAAAGGGGTGCATCTTCATTAGAATTCTCCACACTTCTGCCCCTGTATAAATGTCTGTTTTCTTTATCACTGCCATAGATTTTTATTATACAGACTAAGACAGTGCACGTTGTTTGTGTTCAATTTGCTGTCTAGGCCATCTTGAATGGGGTAGGCTGAAAATAAGTCCGTTGTAACGTTTATTCAATATTTACTTTCTGAAGTTTCAAAAGAAATCCTTCACAGGCTCATGATATTTAGCTAACAAACAGACAAATGAACACACATATGCTCGCACGTATACACACAGATGCAAATCATTATCATTTCACCTTTGAAAAGGCGAAATATTAAAGCAGTAGATACTAGGTAAATAAAGACATAAATATATATACAACTGTACGTTTAGAATCTTTGAGAATATTTGGTATGATTAATGTACAACATTTTTGAATGACTTTGAAAATGCATTAATTCTACTCATTTTTTATTAGAAAGATATATACCTGCTTCTACAGCCTTCACGGTGATGTTGTGCCAGCCAGCTGTCTCTCGGTCCAAAGTCTTTCCCAACGTTATGGCACCCGAGTCAGGATCGATGTGAAAGATCAAGTCCTGGTCAGTTGTCCGATCAATGGAAAACCTAACAGACACACACACAAATAGAATATTTATTTTTTAATTTTTTAATTTTATTTACAGTGACAAAAATATTACAAATGTTAGGAACAATTATTTATTTATTTATTTGTTCATCCATCCGTTCATTCATTAATTCATTAATTCATTCATTCATCTGTCCCTTCATTCTATAATTTATTATAAGCTAAAGAGAAATGTGGACTGCTTACATAAACAAGTGACAGGTTGTGCAAAGTGCTAAATGCATACAATTAATCGTCTCGACTAATGAGTGGAAAAATGAGTGATTTTAACATTCAACAAACTAGTTTTTAGCTCAATGGTCTGAATTTAGTGCAAATTATTGACATTAAACAACAGTCTTTTCAATTTAAAAAAAATCCAAATGTAATAAAAAAATTACAGCCTGGATTCACTAAAAATGCTTTGTGTGTTTATTTCCATTCAATTTTTTAAACATCGTTTGCACCTGCTGAAAAATAAAAAAGTTGCACTAACTACATGTTGCAAAAAGGGCAGCTTTTGAAAGTGGAACACATTTAGCGTTGGCAGTAATTGACATAAATATTGACATATTTTTTTCTAAATGAATGCATAATGCCTCATTTAATGGTGGTCAAAATACACAAAAATAAAGAGAAACCGGTTAGTAGAGTAAGTTAAAGCACACACCTCACTTTGCTTAAACTTTAGCAAATACACAAATTTGCAAAACCTTTATCTGTGCCTGTAAAATGTATGAAACCTGTTGAGTTCAAGTAACAATGTTGTGAAAATGAACTCACCTGAAAACACAATTATCATGGGCTGCATATTAATCAAAGTTTCAGGTTTGTATATGTTTTGATATATTTTTTATCCAAATATATTTTCTTTGTTCTATGTAGCTGCATTATAAATGAATGTATGAATGAATGAATGAATGAATGAATGAATTAAGCCAGACTTTTTTTTTTTCACTCAGCAGTTGCAAATGATGTGCAAACAATTGAGCAAAACATACACAGAGCATTTTTAATGAATCTAGGCTGTAATTTTAAAAATTACATGTGTACTTTTTTTTTTCAATCAAAAGCAATGTTGTTTAATGTCAGTAATTTGTGTTAAATCCATACCTTTGAGTTAAAAACAAAATAGTTTCTTGTATATTAAAATCACTAATTTTCCCGCTCATTTTTTTCTGAAATTATATTCAGCACATTGCACAACTTGTCAAATGCCCACGTAAGCAGTCCTTGATTCTCTTTAGCTTATAACGAAATATAGAATGAACGAATGAATGCATAAAACACCTGACGTTGAAAAAGTTGATACAGTAAGTGGATAGGCAGCAAAAATAAGCTGAAAGGATTCTGTTCTTTTAGCTCCTCACCCCTAAATCATTTGCATACAAAACCACAGACATACACACACACATGTAGCAGGCTCTTTAAAGCCTGGCTAAACCATAAAATACAACCATGGGCTCTTTCAACGTCTCTAGCTTTGAAAAACATACCAGCCTGCATTCTTTTGTCTCTTGTGCACACTGGTTACGTGTTGTGCAAGAAAATGTTGGTATAGAACAATTATCAAAATAAAGAACATTATTAACTTCATAATTGCCTTCAATGACAATAACTAAAACAGTCCTTGGGCATCCAATAGTAATGATAATAATAATTCACAGTTCACCATCATATTCCATCCTTCTCGTTATGATTCAGTTTAAAACAGTGCATTGATTCATGTTAAAAGCCACTTCTGGAGGTCTATCTTTCCAAGTCTGGTATTTACTCATTCATCTTCATTATTTGCTCAAATACGGACACATACTTAATCACACACACATACTCTTTATCTTGGCACATGCATCACCAAGATATCTTCAGCAGCAATTGCTCAGCCAGTAGTACCTTGGTTATGTGCTATATTACAAGTTGAAGCTCGGAAGTCATGTATTTTTAATCAAGGTTATTTTCACAGGACTTTATGGGTGTTGGTGCATCATCTGTCAGTCACATAAGCATAACACTGTATTCCTTGTCTCAATGTGCAATAACTCTTCTGAGAAGATAAAAAAAAGTAGAGTACTGTAATTTGATGTTTCATCAGAGTGATCAAATGGAAAAATATACATTTTGCACACATATTAAAAAAAAAAATGCAAGGTGCACTGTTGCTTGCACTTCCAATCCATTTTCAAGATTTTTAGAAAAAAAAGGGGTTTCCTCGTAAACTTGTAAACTAAATTTAGACAGATAAAAACAATATTTGTGATGGCATTTTTAACAAATATAAACAATTTTATATGATCTTGTAGCATAACATTTGCAGAAATTCCTGCAAACAGCAAGCCTTTACCTTTGAGTGACAGATGTTCCTTACCATTGCAGGGTATAAAAAAAAGTAATATTTTTGTGACTTCTGCAGACCAAGTAGTACTGTATACTCTTCTGTAAAATTGCTGCAGGCAGAGGAGCTTCAGTAATGTCACTTCATTTCCAATGCTTAAATTATGCATCATGCTGTTGTTGCACTTTATGAGTGTCTCAATCTTTAAGTTTGTTGTTAAGTCAACAAAAAAGTAAAATAAATAAATAATAATAATATGGTAAATTAAAATTTACAGTACTTATATTTCCATTATCTGTTTTTCAGAAAAAGTGAGTTGGCACTAATTCCTCTGTTAGACCCAATTTTATTGCAAGTTTGGCATTGATCTACATTTTAGTCTGAATGTATATATACATATATTAATAGTTCTGTTGCAACCTCTTGCTATGTGATGAAACTTCTACTTCTATTGGTATTTCCCTCTTCAGGGGTCACCACCTCCTCATCCACCTCACTCTGTCCTCACTCCAACTATCTCCATGTCCTCTCTAACTGAATCCTTATATCTCCTCTTTGTCTTTCCTCTTTGTCTTTTTCCTGGCAGCTGCATTTCTAACATCCTTCTGCCAATATACCCACTGTCCCTCCTCTGGACATGTCCAAACCATCTCAGTCTGGCCTCTCTAAGTTTATCTCCCATGTTCAACCTGTGCTGTACCTCTGATAATCGTATTCCTTATCTTATCCATCCTTGTCACTCCTATGGCGAACCTCAACATCTTAATTTCTGCCACTTCCAGTTCTTTCTCCTGTCGTTTTGTCAATGCCACTGTATCCAGACCATACAACACAGCTGGTCTTATAACACCCTTTTGACTCAAATCACTCCTGAACATTTTCTCCATCCACTCCATTCTGCCTAGACTCTCTTTTCGCCTATTTACCACACTCCCCATTTTCCTGTACAGCTGATCCCAAGAACTTGATATCCTGCTCCTTTGTGACATATTCTCCTTGTAGCCTCTCTGTTTCACCTACTTCCATCTTTCATTCACACACATGTACTCTGTCTACTACAACTTACTTTCATTCCTCTTCATTCAAGTGCATACCTCCACCTCTCCACTTACTTTCATTCCTCTTCATTCAAGTGCATACCTCCACCTCTCCAAGTTCTCTTCCGCCTGTTCCCTGTTCTCACCACAGATCACGTCATCTGTAAACATGATAGTCCACAGGGATTCTTGCCTGATCTCATCTGTTAGTCGGTGCATCACCAGAGCAAAAAAAGAAGTGGCTCAGAGGCAAGACTTGATGCAATCCCACCTCCACTTTGAAGTTATCCGTCACTCCTACTGAACATTACCCTGCTGTCCTCATACATGTCCTGTACCAGTCTAACATGCTTCTCTGCCACTCCAGATTTCCTCATGCAACACCACACCTTCTCACTTGGCACCCTGTCATATGCTTTTCCAATTCTACAAATAAACAGTGAAGGTCTTTCTGACCCTCTATGTACTTCTCCATCAGCATCCTCAAAGCAGATGGCTTCTGTGTTGCTCCTTCTCAGCACAAAGCCATACCACTGCTCAAAAATGTTCATGTCTCAACTAAGTCTAGCTTCCATAACTCTGTAATGTCATTCCATCAGATTTTTTCATCAGTCATCCCCCCCTGTTTATTTTAACAATCTGAGACATTTACAAACAGTCCTTTTTAATCCCACCAGTCTCTGGGAAGAATCAAGAAAGACAATCATCTGATATAATCAACTTTTAAGATGTCACAGCAAGAATCACTTGATAAAAAAACAAAAACAAAAAAAAAACACAACAACAACAACAACAAAAAAAAACATTCTTATTATTCAGCATTGTTCAGTCAGGTCATCTGGACAGTTTCTTTTTTTTGTGCTGAAACATTTCGCCTTCGATCCGGAAGGCTTCATCAGTCAAGGAAACGCACAACAAAACTGATTCTTCCCCCAACAGCTTACTCCAAAGTGGAACAAACCAGTTCTCCTTGTGATAAGATGGTCTCTTTGGTACACCCCTCCTCCATTGCCGGCCCTCTTCCTTGTTGACAGTCTTGTCAAACTGGTTGAAAACAACAAAGTCCATGCTCAATAATCCAGGTATACAATCCAACATT